GGACCTTTGAGGATTCCTTTTACAGTTTTCATTTACTTTCCAGTATTTCCATTTCTTGTAATGCCTAAGGTAAATTTGTTGAACAATTTAAATTTTGAAGTTTAAATCTAATAAAGTGTGTTTCCTTTCTTACAAATTTGAATCTCGATTGTCTTTGAAATCATAAATCATATGCATTTCATCCCATGCATCTCATAAACAGGTACCTCATTACAGGTCTCTTATCTTCTTCGCTGTTTATTTCAGCGCTCAATCATCATGTCTCATGAACCTTCCACTGAGCAAGCTATCAAGGCCCTCCAGGCCCATAATGCCCAGTTTCAAGAGTTTTTCATGAATCTGGCTAAGGGTCAGCAGGACCTGAAGACCTTGATTCTGAAGGAGAAAAAGAAGAAGAAGAAGAAGAGGACCATCCTATTCAACACTGGACGCAGGTTTGGAAATGGGCTGCAGAATGAAGTTGACCTGACCACCTCATCTGGAGGGAAAGATATTCCACAAGAAAGGAGGGATCCTAGCCCTATGGTCTCCGACAACGAGACAGACTATGACGAAGAACAGTATCCTCCTGCTGAGGATAAGTACATACAGCTGGAAGACCGTTTAAGCGCTATGGAGATACAGAAGGTGCCCGATATGGACTTTGGAGATCTAGGTCTATCCTCTGCGGTGGTGATTCCCCATAAATTCAAGGCACCTGCCTTTGCCAAGTATGACGGAGCTTCCTGCCAAAAGCTGCACCTCCGGTCATATGTGAAGAATATCCAACCTTACACTGCTGATAAGAACTTGTGGATCCATTTCTTTCAAGAAAGTCTCTCAGGGACTCAACTTGAGTGGTTTTATCAGTTGGACGGAGCCAGTATCCGTAGCTGGGAAGGTTTGGCTACTGTGTTCTACAGGCAGTATCAGTACAACTCCGACCTTGTTCCTACGCGTACCCAACTCCAGGGTATGTCAATAGGAACAGGTGAAGGATTCAAAGAGTATTCTCAAAAGTGGAGAGACCTGGCCGGAAGGGTGCAACCACCTTTGGCTGATCGTGAACTTGTTGACATGTTTCTGGGGACCCTGTTTGGTCCGTTCTTTAATCATCTGATTGGTATCTCTTTAGTTGGGTTTACAGATCTTATCTTGACTGGTGAGAGGATTGAAGCAGGTATTAAAGCTGGGAAGATACAGAAGGGTGCCTCATCGAGCACCGAGAAGAAAACGTTTAAAAAAGAGTTCAATGCTGTCTATAATTCAAGAAGACAAAATAGACCTAAACACCGCCAAGCTGTCAATGCAGTTGTTATTTCAAAACCTGCTGGTGCTCCTCAGCATCACAACCAACAAAGGGAAGAGAGACCTCGAAGGCAATTCACCCATCTCAGCATGACTTTGTCTCAGATTCTGCCACAGTTGCTGAAGACCAATCAGGTGACTATAAAAGAAGCTCCAAAGAATTCAAATACAACGTCACCAAGGTATAACCCTAACGCCCACCGCGCTTATCACTCTGAGAGCCCGGGGCATAATACGGATGATTGTTGGGCTTTGAAGAACAAGGTCCAAGACTTGATTGATGCAAAGGAGATTGAGTTTGAGGCGCCCGAGAGGCCTAATGTCGTGGCTGCTCCCATGCGCAAGCATGGAGTAAATGCTTTAGAGGAGGAATTTTTTGTAGTTTCCGTGGAAGATATTGTTACCCCTCTGATGACTGTCAAGAAGAACCTGTTGCTAGCTGGTTTATTTCCGGGTTGTGGCGAAGGTTGCCATATGTGTTCTGTTTTACCTACTGGCTGTCCATTGCTGAAGTTAGGTATCCAAAACCTGAGGGATAGCAAGGAGATCCTGTTTGAGAAGACTGTTGTTCCCTCCACTCCTTCTGAAGAAGTTGCCATCATTACCATTTTCGACAATTCTTCCAAGGCTCCCTCTAGGAAGCCTGTTAGAATTACATCCGTTCCGAAGATCGCACCTGTAATCATCACTATTCCGGGGCCCATCCCCTACACCTCTAACAAAGTTGTCCCTTGGCACTATGGGGCAGATGTTTAAGTTCTTGGAGTTAAGCAAGAGTTGGATGCTGATACTGGCGTCAGCAACATTACTGGACCTGCTAAAGTCACCCGCAGTGGTAGACTTTTCTCACCTGATATTGCTCCACTAACTGTCCGAAGACCTGCTGTCATTACACCTGCAAGTGTGCCTGCTGCCGTTCCTGATCAAGTCCTTAGTCCTACCCCTGTTGCCGAGTCATCTAACGCTCGGGGCAAAGGGATCACCACTGATGTGCTTGTCCAGACGAAGGCACCGAAGACTATTACTATTGAAGCTTCCAAACAGGAGATGGAAGAGATTTTGAAGATTATTAAGAAGAGTGATTATAACATAGTTGAGCAGCTGGGGCAAACCCCATCCAAGATTTCTATGTTGTTATTGCTGTTGTGTTCAGAGGCCCATGCCAAGGCCCTGATTACCTTCCTAAAAACTGCCCACGTGCCACAAGAGACATCAGCTGATCAGTTTACCGATTGTGTGGCCAATTTAACTGCAGATAATGGTTTGGGTTTCTCCGACACTGATCTGACTGCTAAGGGGAAAAATCATAACGATGCCCTGCATGTCTCCATTGAATGCAGGGGTACTACTCTTGCACATGTGTTGGTTGACACTGGTTCCTCATTGAACGTCTTGCCTAAGAAAGCTCTAGACAGGTTGGATTGCAAAGGGTTGGAGCTAAAACCAAGTAACATCGTAGTCAGGGCCTTTGACGGGTCTAAAAGGATGGTGCATGGTGTGATTGATATTTCAATTAAAGTTGGTTCTCAGGTCTTCAATTCTACATTCTACGTGATGGACATTTGGCCGTCCTATTCTTGTTTGCTGGGTCGTCCATGGATCCACAAAGCTGGAGCTGTAACCTCAACGCTTCACCAGAAGCTGAAGTACCCGGTCGTAGGGAAGATTGTGACAGTACAGGGAGAGGAAGAGTACATGGTCAGCCACCTCAACTCGTTCAGATACATAGAGATGGATGGGGAGTTCATTGAGACCCCATTTCAGCACTTTGAAGAGGTTCCTCAGACACTGGTATAGCGGTGAAAATCGGAGATCAAGCTATTAATTAACTTGACTCACAAAAGCAAGAGTCTCCACCGCGCTTTATTATTTCCAAGGGAAAAGGGAAAAGAGCGAAATAAAACCCTAAAATATGCAATGTAAAATAATACTTAAAAGTAATAAAAATACAATGCGTTTTTGAAAGAGATCGAGAGTTCGGGGGTTGGTTATACAATGGGAAGGTATTAGCACCCAATGCATCTAAGGTACTCCGCGGGAACCTTTTGAAATCTATGTTTTTGGTTAAAATTGTTTGTTTGATTAAAATGGTTCGTTTGGCTAAAAAATGGGTATGGACGAGATTTTGAAGATGCGACGTCCTAGTGTCGAAGTTTTGACTTAAAATGTGTGAGTTTGAAATTTGAATCTTTTAGGAAAATCGACTTAATTTTGGAAAAAAATAGTAAGTAGGAAAAAAATGAATGAGGGTATTCGCTTGATCGTATCAGATATTTGATGACATGAAGTCAAGAAAGTTAAAATATTTTCCTTGGAATTAATCATAAGCAGGTAGATCTAATATTCGAGTAAGAAATCATAAATAATTAAAATCCACGAGAAACGAACAAGGTAGATAACAAGATAATTGTAAGAAACTAAATGAATGGACAAAGAAGAATCATGAATAAAAGAAAAGTGTAATTAAAAAATTATCTAAACTAATTTGAAATTCTAAGGTTACTAAGTAAACTAAACCTAAATTCTAAAGTGTCTAATTAAATTAAATAAAATTTTGAAGCTATTAACTAAAACTAAATTAAAATTCTAAAGTTACTAACTAAAATTCGAAATTTATTAAATTAAATCTAAAATAAATTAACACTCTAATATTACTGAATTAGGTCTAAACTAAATTAATTCTAAAGTTGCTAATCTAAAAAAAGCTCCAAAGTTACTAAACTAAATCTAAATCAAATAAAATTCTAAAAGAATATTAAACTAATTCTAAACAACTAAAATTCTAAACTTATTAAACTAATTCTAGATCAAATAAAGTTCTAAAGTTCCTAAACTAAAACTAACAACTAAAATTCTAAATTTAACTTAAATAAAATCAAATAAAAATTCTAAAATCACTAAACTAAAACTAAACAAATAAAACTCTAAAGTTAACTTAAATAAAATCAAATAAAATTCTAAAATTATTAAACTAAACTAAAACAAATAAAAATTCTAAAATTTACTAAATGAAATAAAATTCTAAAGTTATAAAATAAAACTAAAACAAAATAAAATTCTAAAGTTATTAATTATGATTCTAAATATTTTAAAGTTATAAAATAAATCTAAACTAATTAAAAAAATTCTAAATTAATACTAACCTAAATCTAAATATAAGATTTACTATATATTTTTATATTTTTTTTTTGGGGCACTGCTACCTTTACTGGTTTTTTTTCAATCTTTTGTTTTCAAACAACAAGAAAACCATCCACTTAAGTCCCGACACATGGAACGTAGGATTAAAATAAATTTTAAAAAGATAGATTTAATGTGACTTAATCAATAATAAAGCAATTAAAAGAAAAATAAAACAAATACCACATTATCCCTCTGTTCAATCGTCTTATTCTTCTTTTCATAATCATCATCTATCACAATTTCTTTTCCTTTCATCTGATGACAGCGCGGAGTGGTAGAAAGGCTTCGTTGGAGAGAGTTGGTGTTGTTGTTCAGTTCGTTAGAATGCGGACAGGGGCACGGTGGCTGCGTTGCGATTTCGTAAGTGTTGGCTATCGGAGGTGGAGATCTGCGCTGGCGAAGGATACGCATAGTGGCGGTTGTTGGTGGATCTGGAAGCAAAAGTGGGTGGTGTTGCAAGAAGTAACGGAGCGATTACGGGAGGGTGACATCGGGTTTGCTGGTCCGTGGAAGTTGGTGTTTGATGGAGTTCACGGAAGTGAGGTCGGAGAGAGGAAGTGTTGTTGCTGAACGGAAAATGTGAAGGAAAACAAAGAGGAGCTAGTCGTTGGTTGCCGGTGGTGAGACGGAGGTTCACACGGCTGGAGATGCAGTGGCGATCTGAAATTGTTAAACAACGGATTGGAGTGAGTTGACAGCGGATTGGGTTTGCTTTTAGGTATTGGAGGCGTCCCAGGAGGAGGGGGTGGTGCAGGTCCTGAGCTCCACGCATTACCACCCGTCTGAAGGTCGTCTATGTTTTTCAACCGCTCCAGAATCCAACCTGTGAAATTATTGTTTTCTACATTCAAACTATTGAGGGTCAGATTAGCAAGAATGTCAATAGTGCCTGTAAACTGGTTGTTTTGCAGATACATGGTGGTAATGCCTGAAAGTGAGCTCATAGTTGGAGGGAGGTCGCCTGTCAAAGAATTGAAAGAGAGGTCTAATTTGGAGAGGGTAGAAAGATTAAGAAAGTTGAGATTGAGTGGTTGCTGGAGCTGATTGTGATTGAGATTCAGGTGAGTAAGAGAGGTGAGGTTAGAAATAGAGTAAGGGAGTGTCCCGGTTAAGTTATTATGAGCAAAATTTAAACGTTGGAGATTAGGAGGAAGTTGGTATGGTATGGTTCCAACAAGATTGTTGTTACTCATGTCTAGATTGGTGAGAGACGTGAGACGGTCTAATCCGTAAGGCAATGTTCCGGTTAGAGCAAGATTGGATAAGTTGATCTGAGTTACACGAGTGTCTGAACAAGTAATGCCTTTCCAGGACTGGCCATATGGATCAACCCCATTAGCAGGCCAACCTAGTTGGGGAGGTGAATTGATGAAAGTTGGGAGATGAAGGAATTGACGGAGATGATTTGGTGATGGAGGTTTCTAGGCGAAGAGATGAGGGAGGAAGTAATAGTTACTGTTTGTTGTTTTTTTTTTGTGATGTGTCCCCGTTACATAAAGAGAAATATTATGATTTCAAAATAAATCCAAGCCGTTCAATATAAATTCAATCTCTATCAATCCGCAAATCATGCTATCAACCAATGAGAATTGAGCAAAGTGTAAATAATATATTTTGTGACCAAATAGCCCTTAAATGATAAAAATAACCAAAAAAACTAAATGTATTAAAATTAACTCAATTTAAAATGATTTTTTGAATATTTTCTGAATTAAAAATAAAGACACAAAATGACCGAAAACGATAAAAAACGGACGAAAATTTATCCGATAAAATAAAATGAACACATTAAAATAAACTACATGTCACGAAGATTAAAGAAAAAAAATATTCAAGAAGTAAAAAAATCAAAAATAAAATAATAATAAAAATATCAGACTAAATAGACGTTTAAGGTTAAAAACGAGACTTCGAACTATACCGAAAAAATAAAGCGAGCATACCGTCATGATCTACGCGAAACGCAGATTCATAAAATGATCGGTAAAAGGTGAAAACTTGAAATATTTTCTCGCTAATTTCCCGCATAGTGTCGAATCGCTTTTAACAGTTTGTCTATAAAACCAAAATATTTTTATTATTGACATATAAACAACTTGGAGCAATGCAACAAATGAGTAAATAGATAAAAATGCATGAAGCAAAATGCCGGGTATTTTACAACTGAAAGACGATGCAAACTTTGATTTAAACTGACTTTTCTGGTCAACTTAAATACGACTAATGATGCAAAATATGATGAATGAAGATATTCACTAATGATTGTGACTAAATAACAAAATATGATATGAAAGTGCGACTAAAACATATTAGGGGCGAAATTTAGGGTGTAACTGTTGTGCCTTGATGAATCTGTCTTCGAGAATCCATAATCAACCGTACTTTTGGCTTGGGAGACTCAAAACCTTAATTGAGGCGCGACACCTGATGCTCTTGATTCATACCTGTCTCTGTACATGACACAAAAGAAGACATGAACATACACCTTTGTATGCGATTAGAAATTAGTGATACATATGCTAAAAATGTTCAAAACATTTGACAATCTTCGCATAGTCAAAGCTCGAAGGTGAGACGTTAAAACCGACCGTATTTCGTGACCTTGACTTATCTTAAAAAATGCAACAATAAAAATGGGATCTTAGGTCAAAAATTGGGGTACAACAACTGGCATCAGCTGAGACTGTGGTTGAATATTCTCCTATGAAGATGGCTTCCTTAAAGGATGTTCGGGCTGTTATTGAGAAGGGTGAGTGTACAAATTGGGGCCGACTCCCTGATTTTACTCAGAAGACTAACAAGTTTGGTTTGGGTTTCACTGCAGAAGCTCAAAGGGTTGTTCAAAGTGAAAGGATTGGAAGACCTCCTGTGTTCATCAGCAACTCGGAAGTAAATTCCATTGAAGATGATGTGGAAGAGTCTGAATTCGACAGCTGGATCTATCCTACGACCAATGGTGGACCAAGCAACTGGACAGCAAAGGACTTCATCCCTATTAATTTTGTTACCCAGTAATGAACTCTTTGTTTTGAACTTGTAACAAACAATGTTTTGAAACTTTATGGCCCGGTGTCTTACCCGGGGCGCTGTGGCTTCATTTGTGAGGGCTTTTGTGTTCCATTTTCATATATCATTAATAAAAGCATTGGACGTTTCTTGCATTTCAAATTTTGCGCTCCTTGTTTTTCTTTATTATATACTGCAAAACAACTATTTTACACACACTCACATATACAGGTCCACATCAACTCTGGATCTCACTGGTAACGACTCTGCTACTGCCAGTTATGACTTCGAAAATCCGATCAACTTAGCCGAAGACGAAGGTGAAGATGATTGCGATGTGCCTGGTGAACTTGCAAGACTGCTACTCCAGGAAGAGAGGGCCATTCAGCCACATGAAGAGCCAGTGGAAACAGTGAATCTGGGTACTGAAACAGACAAGAAAGAAGTCAAGATCGGTGCAAATCTGGAGCTTAGTGTGAAGCAGCAGTTGATTCAGATGCTGCATGACTATGTTGAGATCTTTGCATGGTCTTACGAAGATATGCCTGGGTTGGATACCGACATTGTGGTTCATCGCCTGCCTACCAAAGAAGACTGTCCTCCGGTAAAACAGAAGGTTCGCCGTATGCGCCCAGAGATGTCCGAGAAAATCAAAGCTGAATTTATGAAACAATTTGACGCCGGTTTTCTAGCAGTGACTTCTTACCCTCAGTGGGTTGCCAATGTGGTTCCAGTACCGAAGAAGGATGGTAAGGTTTGAATGTGTGTTGACTACAGGGATTCGAACAGGGCGAGCCCTAAGGATGACTTCCCTCTACCTCACATCGACGTTCTGGTTGACAATACTGCTCAGCACAAGGTATTATCCTTCATGGATGGTTTATCTGGTTATAATCAGATAAAGATGGCTCCCGAAGACATGGAGAAGACCACTTTTGTTACCCAGTGGGGTACCTTTTGTTACAAGGTCATGCCTTTCGGACTAAAAAATGTTGGGGCAACATATCAGCGTGCCATGGTTGCTTTGTTTCATGACATGATCCATCATGAGATTGAAGTATACGTCGATGATATGATTGAGAGGTCCCAAACTGAGGAGGAACACCTTAACCATCTACAGAAGCTGTTTGACAAGTTCAAGTTGTACAAGCTGAGATTGAACCCGAACAAGTGCACCTTCGGGGTGAGGTCTGGTAAGCTACTGGGTTTCGTCGTGAGCGACAAAGGTATTCAAGTGGACCCTGCCAAGGTGAAAGATATACAAGAGATGCCAACTCCCAAGACAGAGAAAGAGGTCAGAGGCTTCTTGGGACGACTGAACTACATTGCCCGATTCATCTCGCACCTAACTGCTACTTGTGAGCCAATCTTCAAGTTACTGAAAAAAGATCAAGTGGCACGTTGGAATGATGAATGCCATGCTGCTTTCGAAAGAATCAAAGAGTATCTCCAGGAGCCACCCATCCTAATGCCACCAGTTGAAGGAAGACCTCTGATCCTATACTTGACGGTACTTGACAACTCAATGGGATGTGTGCTGGGGAAGCATGACGATTCTGGCCGAAAAGAGCATGCTATTTATTACCTTAGCAAAAAGTTTACCGGCTGTGAGACCCGATACTTACTGCTTGAGAAAACTTGTTGTGCTTTGGCATGGGCTGCTCGCCGGCTGAGACAGTATATGCTGACTCACACTACGCTGTTGATTTCAAAGATGGATCCAATCAAGTATATCTTCGAAAAGCCTGCCTTGTCCGGAAGAATAGCAAGATGGCAGATGATCTTGACTGAGTATGACATCCAGTACAGAACTCAAAAAGCAATCAAGGGAAGTGTATTGGCAGACCATATGGCACATCAGGCAGTGGATGACTACCAGTCTATGAACTTTGAATTCCGGGACGAGAATATCATGGTAGTAACTGATTGTGAGACACCTGGACCGGATGAAGGACCTGAGGAAGGATCCCGATGGTCTATGTACTTTGATGGAGGTTTAAACCATTTGGGTAATGGCATTGGCGCCGTGATCATATCTCCGAAAGGCTCTCATACTCCGTTCATCGCCCGTCTATGTTTTAACTGCACCAACAACATGGCGGAGTATGAAGCGTGCATCATGGGTCTTCGAGCTGTAATTGACCTAAGGATTAAGTTTCTGAGTGTCTTCCGAGATTCCGCTCTCGTGATCAGTCAGATCAAAGGCGAGTGGGATACGAAACACCCAAATCTTATTCCTTACAAGGAGTATGTGTTGACGTTGCTTCCCCACTTTGAGGAGATAACCTTTGAACATTTCCCTAGAGAAGAGAATCAGTTGGCGGACGCGTTAGCTATGATGTCTTCTATGTTCAAAGTCAAATGGGACAACGAGGCCCCCCGAATCATTATTTGGAAATTGGATGAACCTGCACATTGCTGTGATCTTGAGACTGAAGAGGTAACAGAAAAGCCCTGGTATCATGAAGTGAAGAGGTACCTTGAAGCTCAGGAATACCCCGAGGGTGCATCTGTTAATGACAAGAAGTTTTTGAAGAGGTTCGCGGAAAAGTTCTTCATCAGCAATGACATTCTTTACAAACGTAACCATGATTCAACCTTACTACATTGTGTGGATAAGACTGAAGCAGAAGGGATCATGGCAGATCAACATGAAGGCACTTTCGGAACTCATTCCAGTGGACATACCATGGAAAAGAAAATCCTTCGGGCAGGATATTACTGGTCCACAATGGAAGCCAACTGTTATCAGCATTCTCGGACATGTCACAAGTGCCAGGTCTATGCTGATAAGGTGCATACACCTCCAGTTCCTCTGAATGTTTTGACAGCACCTTGGCCTTTTGCAATGTGGGGCATTGATATGATCGGCGAGATCAGACCTACGACATCCAACGGGCATCATTTCATCTTGGTAGCGATCGATTACTTTACAAAGTGGGTAGAAGCAGCTTCCTTTGCTACCGTAACCAAGAACTTCTTGGCACGGTTCATTCGGCATAACCTGATTTGTCGATACGGTGTACCAGAAAGGATCATTACGGACAATGGTACCAATCTCAACAACAAGATGATCACTGAGCTCTACGAGCAATTCAAGATACAGCACCATAACTCTTCTCCCTACCGACCGAAGATGAATGGGGTTGTCGAAGCTGCAAATAAGAACATTAAGAAGATCATGCAGAAGGTGACAGTGACTTACAAATATTGGCACGAGATGCTACCATTTTCTCTTCATGGGTACCGTACCTCAGCACGGACGTCAACAGGGGCAACACCCTATTCCTTGGTTTATGGCATGGAGGCAGTCTTGCCTATTGAAGTTCAGATACCTTTGCTTCAGATTATGAAGGATGCAGGTTTGAGCGAAGATGACTGGATTCAGACCCGAATTGACCAACTGAACCTAATGGACGAAAAAAGACTTACTGCTATTTGTCATGGTCAAACGTACCAAAAATGGATGATCAAGGCATTTAACAAGAAAGTTAGACGACATGAGTATCAAGTTAGGGACCTGGTAATCAAGCGCATTATCTTACCTCAAGGTGATCCCAGGGGAAAATGGACCCCTACTTACGAAGGGCCATTTGTGGTTAAGAACATCTTCAGGAGGAGCTATGATTCTAACCACCATGGATGGTGACGACCTTCCTCACCCCGTCAACACAGACATAGTAAAAAGATACCACGCATAATCAAAGACCCGCTAGGTTGACTGGCATAGGCAAAAATAAGGGCTTCCCGGCGAACCAAAAGGGTTTCAACAAAAGTAAGGGATGAAATTGAAAAAATCTGTACACCCAGCAAGTCGAAAACCTGAAAAGGCGGCTTGCACAAAAAGGGGTATCCCGGTGGACTGAAAACCCGAAAGGGAGGTCCAGGAAAAATTTAGGGATAAGCGTAACACTATGTCTAATTGGATCACTGTGTATCCAAA